TATTAGTGGTATGAGATGCAAAATGTGAAAAATCCAAGGGGCACGGATGCTTTTGTAAGGCACCGTAATCCAACATTCACTCCAAAGAAAAAGACAAATGTATCTCTTGTTTTACATGTATTGTCTTTGCTCTACATGGAACAGGTCCTTGCTCTCCATCGTCTGCTCCAGAAGTGTGCGGTTCTGCAGCATCAGGGTCTGGATCTGGTCCAACAGGTGACGGTTCTCCTCCTCCAAGTTGCCTTTCAGCTGGCTCAACAGCTAATTCACACGAAAAGGGAAGACCGGCTTAAAACGGTAAAGAGATTTATCCAAAAGCGTTCAATAAAAATACACTTGAAGGTCTCGTTACCTCACACTGGTTGGTGAGTTTAGTGGAGGTGATGTCCAGCTGCTGGTATTGCTCCTTGAGTTTGGAGAACTCGGCTTCTAGCTTGGTCTGCTCCAGCTTTGCACTGTTCAGCTGGCTCTTTATGTTCTTATGGTCCACCTGCAGACTCTCGTTGTCCTTCATCAGTTGGTGATAGGCGGTGTTCAGCCTGGAAAGACAGCACAACAGACTCTTTGGTGGAAATGTGCATTTCAGTCACCCTGAAAACATCCCACTCGCTTTCTACTTCTAAATGTCAAACTTTTCCAGACTAAACAGTCCAGATTTCTCCAAATACTTCATACATTTTGAACCGTTATATTTCACAATTATGAATCGACAGTAAAAAAGTTGAATTCTGATTTGGTTGTGGGGGTTGATTTACAAGTACAGATTTAAATACATGAACATACTACATATAAATTTAACATTTTTTTGTTGTTTTTTTTTTGCCCCATTTCCAGCAGTTGGACCAGAAAAAGTCAACCTGAGCAGCAGCCAGGAAGCAGAAACTCCAAGACCTCTGAACCATGAACGAAACAGTCGACCTTTAAATTTTAGACCACCTGCATTTGTCTCTGGGTTCTTAGTAAAATTAGAAAACAAATTCATCAGTTAGATGGACCAAAAATCTGATGTGGAAAACAAAAAAACACCATTTACATGCAAATGGTCGAAAAAGATTAATTTTGTAGCAGTTTTTAATTTAACTGGGAAAAAAAAGACTTAAAACTGAAACATTTTCCATAAGCCAGTATTTTATAGCATAAAAAGCCTGACCTGTCGTTTTCCTCTTTGAGCAGTTTGCACTGGTCAGCTGTGGCTTGGTGGCTCTGATTCTCCTGAGTCATCTTGTCCTGCTGCTCCTTCAGGTTTTTCTCCAACTCCTCCAGCTCTCCCTTTCTCTGCAGGAGCTGCTTGTACCTGGACAGAAGGAAAACAAAATACAACTTAAAGACAACAATATTTTTTTTGTTTTAAAGTTCCTCAGAAAAATGACAGAATTGATTGAATATTGCTGTAGTTCGAGAGAAGCTCACTTGTCCTCCAAGTCTCTGTGCTGTTGCTCCAGGCTCTTATGGGAGGTCTTCAGGCCGCCGTGTTTCCCAATCAGAGCTTCGTACTCGGCCGCCTGCCGCTCGTGGAGCGCCGCCAGCTTCTCGTGATCCCGGAGCAGCAGCTCGTAGGCCGCCCTCAGCTCCTCCTTCTCTCTCAGCGCTCCCTCCCGCTCTCCCTCCACGCTGCTCTGCTGGCTCTGCAGCTGGGCGTTCTGGGCCATGAGGGCCGCACTTTGAGAGCTCAGGGTGGAGTTCTCCACCTACAGGACAGAGGTGGAGGAGCAGCACCATCACTTATAACATATGATTTGTGGTATATTTCAAGTGAAGATGAAATATTCAAAGCCCAGATCTCTGCGAATCAAACATTAAAACCCAAGGAAGAATTTATTTGAGTTTTTGCCTGTAGGGGGCACTGCGTCCGTGTGGGATAACCTCCAGCTTGGGAGAGGAAATAAAAAAGCGGAAGCAAGTTTCTTTATCAGTTTATGAGTTCCCTTTATGGCCACAGTGGTTTACCAGCCCAGTCATCACAGACAATATTTACACTCTGACAGACAGACTGGGTTCAGGTAAAACAGCAAAGGCAGCACAATGACACAGTATTCGCCAACATGCAGCGTGCCGTTACAGACGCACAACTCGCAGCAACCTACTTGAACATTTTCCAGATGCAGTAAGCAGCTGCCACACATAAGAAGAGTTTGAAAAGCTGCCAAACAGTGAGAGCAAACGTAAATCCATAGCAGGGAGCAAAGCTGACTGGCTGCACAAACACAGAAGGCGGGACGAGATATCTGTGTTATTTTTGATGTACGCTCCTGAACAGGCGCCACAGCACTACCATAATGTAACCAGTATGATACAAGGTCACATTAATGATAACCAAGTTATTCTGAAACCGGTGAAATGTTCGCAGAGACATTTTAAAATAAAGTCCCACTCACAACATTAACTGATTTGCATTTTGCTACAAAGTATTTCATCTGTGTAGCACACTAGATTGTGTTCAACTGGATTTTCCTTCATGAAACTTAACATGATCTTCAGTGGAAGGCAAAATAAGAAACGTTGACAATTTAGACCACTGTTAACGATAAAGACAGAACTTTTGTTGCTAGTGTTCCTCTTTAATTCCTGACATGAATATAAAACAACATTCGGGATGTTATTTTTGCTATAAATATCTATGCAATGGTCTGAAACAGCAGTGTGTGGGTCTGAATCATCCACACATACACCACTGACACAGAAATCACCAAGCTCCTGCCACTGTCAGGATTCTGCTGCAGGAATCTGGCAGCTTTGACACCCAAACATGTTGCCACCAGGAGGTTTTGTTTTCATATCAAACCAAATTCATCACAGAAAGAGATCCATTAAAATTGAATCATTATATACATGCCTGCCCTCAGAGGACGAAGGTTGTTGACAGTGAAAAGGCTGCAAAACTATTGGAGGACTTTGAACTTCATTAGTTCAAATCATTGTAAAGCACAAGTAGAAATAAAACATAAAAGTGTTTATTAAGCTGCTCTTGTAAGGGAAAAGAACCAGTATAGGACTTGAATGCAAAAACTGGTAAATACTTAAAAAAAAAAATTCTGTTCCTCAAAATACATAAGGAATATAGGCTAAACTATTTAATGTTGGGTTATTTCTGGTTTGTATGATGGGTTTACCTGCAGTTTGGCATTCTGCGTCTGCAGAGTGGTGTTGTTCTCCTGTAAGGAGGCGGTCTGCCTCTGCACCGCTACAATCTGTGCCTGCAGGTTGGAGCTCTGAGTTTCCAGTTGTTTGAGTTGGCTTCTCAGAGCCACCTTCTCAGCCTGCAGTGTAGCATTCTGAGGGGAAAAGCATTATTATAATGAATAATACAGAAATTTGGAACCGAAATGGAGGGCAAAAAAAAAAAAAAAACACACACCTGAGAAATCTAAGATTCATTTAAACTTACATTTCTCTCCACTTCAATTAGTCTGTCTTTGACTTTCAGCAGCTCCCTGGTGGCTTCATGGCTCTCCTTTTCCCATTTATTGACGGTCTGGGAGTTTTCCCCTCCTTTCGGGGGAGAGCTGTGCACCATCCTTTCCTCCTCCTCTCTCTGGCGAAGCGCCTCATAGTTCTTCTTTACCTGAGGTGAATCGAGTAAACCGTCAAGCTAAATAGCTAAATAGTCTAATAGCTGCTGCAGGAGAACATTTTAAGATGTTTTGAACTTTAAATTTCACGGTTTTGTTCTTGTAGCACGCTTATTTTCCAGTTTAGCTTAAAGTCTGCAAAGAAGAACTATTGTTTATATTTATTATAAAAGCATGGATTTCAATTTTGCTTACCGTTTTTAGCTCCTGCCGAAGTTGCTGGTTGAGGTTGGAGGATTCCTGTAATCGCGCCTCTAAAGCAGCGATTTTCTCCTCTTTGATCTCCAAAGATGATTTCAGAGTTGACTCCAGTTTGGTTTCAAGCAGCTTAAACCTGGGAATAAATAAAGGTTTATGTAGTTATGTGTTAAATGCATAAATGTATTACGACAATGTGGAGGGAAAAAAAAAAGGTAAATTATCATCTCACTAAGGAAGGGATGACTCTGGCTTGGAAAATAGAGAGAAAAACAGCCCTTCCAGTAAAATGGGTCATTATTCTGAATGTTGTAAAGGAGTTTAAATTTAAACTAGCCTTCAAAGATTTTATAAAGGCTGTGTCACAGATCAGCAATCATTGTGTACCTGTCATCGGAGCTCTCATCGTGCAGGAGTCTCTCTTTGTTCAGTCCAATTTTCTCCAATTCATGAGTAAGTTTCTCAAGGTCATTATTCATCTGCTGCGTCCGCAGTTTCTCACTCACAAGCTCCTACACACACGCACGCATGTGCGCGCACACACACACACACACACACACACAAAATAGTACATGTTAAGCATCTTCTAATAAAACCCCACATTTACTTAACATTTATATAAAAACAACATTAAATGACTAACGTAGAGTAGATCAGTAAAGCTGATTGTTTTAATTTAATCTGCTGAATCTTAACACATACATTAAAAAAACAAAAACAAACTCTGCTTACCTCTCTTAGTGTCATCAGTGTCTTCTTATCTATACTGCCCTGTTTGACCAGCTCTTTGTTCTCTTTCTCCAGGTCCTTGACTCTCGTACACGAGTCCCTGAAGAAGATCATCTCCTTGCCCATGGTGCGGTTCTCCTTCTCCAGGGCGGCGATCCGCTGGTTGCCGTCATCCAGCTTGGAGTCGCGGATCTCGGCCTGCTGCCTCAGTCGCTTGTTCTCCTTCTCCAGAAGCTTCTTATCTTTCTCCAGCTGGGAGCTTTCCAGTTCCAGAGTTTTGTTCTGTGAGTGAGACGGGACGCAGTAAAGTAAAGATGGATGCTAACTGCGGAACATTAGCGCAGCGACCGTGACTACGGCCTACCTCCTGCTCCAGCTGCTCCAGCCGTTTACTCGAGATCTTCAGTTCCTCCAGGTTACGCTGAAGGGTTTGGTTCTCCGTTTCCACCTCTTGCAATTCTGCCTCCAGCTGCTGGATCTTCTTGCTGCTGTTCTCCAAAGCCTTCTGAAGCCGCTGGTTCTCCGTGTCCAGACCCTGGTAGCTCACCTGGGAAACAAAAGTGTAGAAAAACTTGAACAATGCAGTCATTTTTTAACTGTTGTGTTGAAGAAAGTAATTGTGAATATTTAGACTTAAAAAAAGGCTATTTGCTGAAAAAACAGCATATTCAGAGCAGTGATTAAGCCAAAACTGTACTAAAATACACACAGGTTGCATTTAAAACAATATAAAAACAGAAATTTTGTAAATGTGCTCTACCCAAAACTCAATGCCATAGTTTTAGCTTCACCAGATTCAAATTCTGTAAATAAAAAAATTATATATATGTTTAATCACCTTTTGCTATCCAGATATTTAGTTATTCAAAAAATAATCAACAGGTCAGCCCTTCAGTATGTTGGTGTTGAGTTGAGCAGAAAGTGCTGAGCTTTTCACATTTAGATGTTACAGAAGTTTTTGTTTTAGATGGAGATGCAGTGTTTGTTACAAAACAGGTGTTAAGCATTTTAGGCAATAAATTATTTAGCTATTTAAAAAGAAATGTAATTGTTTATTTGCATTTTTCTATATTTCTAATATATTAAAAAGGCTTAAAAGAAAAATCTGCACAATGTGTCAATTTTTTAAGATCCGATTAATCGTCAAAAAGATTAATAAATTGACAACTAAAGTAATCGTTAGTTGAAACACTGATTTATTATGAGGAATATGATCCAACGAGTTTGCTTATTTTACAAACCAAGAAAACCAGCTGACATCACAGTCCAGGAGCAGCTCCTTGATGTGTGTTCATACCTCTAATCTTTCTGTTTTCTTAGACGAGGCTTTAAGCAGTTCCAAGCTGCGCTTCAGCTGGGTCCTCTCGCTCTCCAGCTCCCTGTTCTCGGCTTCCAGCTGAGCGGCCTTTGCCCCCGCTGACCGGAGCGTCTCGGTTGAGCGCCGGAGCTCCAGGTTCTCCTGTTCGAGCTGGCCGTTTTCCTTCTCCAGCGCCTCTAACTGGAAAGCCATATTTTTTAGAGCGTCCAGTTTCTTCTTTAGACGGCGGCCCTCCACCTCCAACTCAGAGTTCTCCTTCTCCAAAGAAGAAACCTGCAAGGAAGAGGTGTGAGAAGTTGGGAGATGCAAGTCTGAAACAAATGCATTATTTCTAATCTGGCGGGATGTCTTGACATAAAAAATCAAGACATTTTTTATGTCTTGATTCCCAAATTAAATGTAACAAATTCACATGTTTATGTCCTATTTTAAAGCTGTAGAGGCAAAGATTCCCTGTGAAATTTCTGCATACATTTCTGTTTAGATCAGACTTTAAAACATAAATGCTGCAAAAACCAAAACGAATAGAAAAAAAGATCTGCAAGTGACATCAGATACAGCTATGAAATAAACGCTCCATACTTTTTTCTTTTTCTATACCTGAACAATTATCAAGTCAAATTCTATTTTTTTTGTCTAGACTCCACAAGAACCCTGACTTTGAGAATCTACATTCATTGCATTGAGATTGTTAAACAAATCAAATCATTAGTAAAGTACAAAAATATTCCACAACCCAAGTGAAAATGTATGGATTAAAAAAAGTATTTAAAACGTAAGCAAACCAAGGTAATATAGCAATATGTGAGGAGATGGACCAGACCTTCTCGCAGGTAATTCCAAGAGTGGCAACTTTCTTCTGCAGGCTTTCATTTTCCCTTTCCAGCTTCTGCAGCCGAATCTCCAACTCTTCTGCTCTCTCACCTTTTTCCTTCATCAATTCAAGCTCCTTTCCTGCATTAAAAAAAATCACTTTTCAAAACACTCAAAACTCTTGTTAAAATGAAGAAAACAGAACTAAATACTATTCTCAGAAAAACATTCAAACCCAAAAATGTTCATCCAGCTGGTTACTCACGTAGCTGCTTCCTTTCAAATTCGAGCTTATTCAGTTTGCCCGTCGTCTCGCAGATCGACTCGTGAAGAACTCTGTTCTCCTTCTCCACGTCTTTCACGCGGGCCTCAGCTCCAACCTGGCAGCGTTGACGCAGCGAGGAAATGGTTTGGCTCAGGTGCTTGTTCTCCTGCTCTAGACCCTTCGTCTGCAGAGAACGAAATGAAGCTTTGATTTAATTGTGATTTATATTCTTAGTGGGATAGGAACAGTACAAGGCACCGATTTCCCAGCAGAATCAACACTACAAACACAAAAAACTAGGATAACTCTGCCGTTTGCCTGACCGACTGGAATAGCACAGCATTAGTTACATCTCATTATGTTTGCAACAAAGCCAATGGAGGCAGATAATCTGCGAGTGCGGCGTTCTGTTTGCTTTCCCCCCTGAAGCTCATCAAAGCTGGATTTAACGAATCAGAAGGTTAAACTAATCAAAGGTGTCAGATTTGGGTCTGACAACTGCAAAGACCTGGCCACACACAGTGAGCGACTCCATCTAAGCTGCAGACTGCAAGAAATCGGGATTCAACGAAGCATTCAGCGAGTTGATCCAAATGCAGATGTCTGAAAACTGTTTGCAGGAACAATCAGTGAAATGTATTTATTCTGCATGTTTTTGTGGGACATCTTGGAACAGTTAGCGAAAATTTTATAGGAAAAAAAAAAAAGTTTATATCAAATCTATTTGATGTTTTTTTTTTCTAATGTGTTAAATGTCAGTAGTCAAACATTAACTTTCTAAATTAAAGTGAATCCTACATGAGATTAGAGCTAAAAAGCCTTGAAGTCACTCTTTAATCAGCTAGATGTGTCACAGTTTTAACGGATAACAATCAGACTGTTCCGAACAATTACAAAATGGCTTCTGAACAGCACTGAGTGCGTGTTTGCATGCCCACCTGTCTCTCGGAGTTTTCCCTGAGTGTCTCCAGAGTCTTCTCCAACAAAGCCTTTTCCTTCATCAGGTCCGTACTCAGTGACTCGGCACTACGGAGCGACTCCCTATCCACCATTAGTTCATTCTCCAGTCGCTCCAACTGCAATAAATAAGAGCCTTTTATCTGTATTGTATATATACACTAATACAAAAGTAATTTAAAATAATTTTAATCTGTTGAAACAAATCCTGAATTTTTGGTACTTCAAAAGTATTTTTTTATTTGGCACTTAACTTTAAGCACAGAAAAAGTATCCACATGTCATTTTTAACCATAAAATGATTGCGATACAAATAGAAGAACTGTTTAAAATAATACCCCATTCTGTATGAATTAAATTCATAGTGAAACAACAATGAAATGAAATATGCTTATTTGTGAGCTACACGAATCCCAATAGCTGCTTCAAATTTAAACGCATCTTGGATTAAGTTTTTAAAGTCGCTTAGAAATTCCACAGGGTGGATTTTCCCTTTGAGGGAGATGAACTTAGTGGTATGTTTTTTTGTTCGGAGGGCACACAGAGAATCTTATGTTTCTGAAAATAGCTGCGAAACGTCTTTTAGCACAGGGTGTTCCAGAGTTAAAGGCAGTTAAACCATGTGGATTTACAGCTTTGCTTTCATCCTCCTATCCGCCCCTCTTTATCCTTGCCCAGTTTTACTTTCTCTGTGTCACTGTGATCTAAAGGTCTACAGTCAAGAGGAGGCATGTACATTATGCAGGGAGTGCTGGTGTAGCATGTTGGTTTTGCTGCTGAAGAAGAGAGAATTAAAGATGTTCTAGAAATAAAAACATCACAAATCCCGAAATGAGTCTGTTCTAAGAATCAAAGAAATTAAGGCTTACTTTCTGGTTAAGTTTCTGGTTTTCTTGATTGGCTTTGGTCAGTTTAGCTGTGTCGTCCTGACTGGCTGTCCCTTTGAGTTCCTCCACCTTCTTCAGCAGAGCTTGATTTTCTTTCTCCAGCTTTAACAGGCGACTGGAGGTCAGCTCATTCACCTCCTCGCCCAAAGACTTCTGCGGGGCTAAAATAAAGACAGAACTTCAATGTCTTTGCAAAATACAAGATGCATCATGTCTTTTGCCTTATTACTACTAAATATCAATAACTCAGATTAAATCTTGAGAGACTGTAATTCCACTAAAGCAAGCTTTGACAAACATCCACCTTCACAGAGTCTTTATCCAGATCCTGGGCTTGCTAAACCTATTAACAGCTCTTATTATCCAATTCCACAGCTTATCTTTCAGGAGTCACTGAATATTAATTACAGCACAGATCTTAACCAAGTGGAAAGAAAACCCTGTGGAGGCTGGCACATACAGACAGAGCCTGGAGGGACGATGCCAGGATTAAGGGCCAAAGACCAAGGCCTGGTACGTCGCCCGTCTGCAGCTTCCAGTAGAGTGAACTCTTCAGTGTCTGTTAGCAGCTTAACTTTTTAAGTGAATGACTTATTCTTTATTTTCCCATTCTTTATATGCTCTCTGTTACTAAAGTTAAAACGATTAATTGTGATTAATCAATTATTGAATTAATCATCAAGTGATTTAATAATTGATTGATCATTAACTAGCATAGAGACTCCAAAAAAAGTAAGTTATCGAGTAAGTTTTCTATATATATATATATATATACACACACACATATACATACACATATATACATACACACACATATACACACAAAGAGAGAGAGAGAGAGAGAGAGAGGGAGAGAGACTCCAAAAAAGGACAAATGTACAAATAAATTCTCTAAAAGAAAAAAAAGATAAATAATTTTGATCAGTTAATTATAAATACAACATATCAGCCCTACACTGCAACAATGTCAAAGTCAAGCAGAAAAAGCTGATGCTAAATGTATAAGTTTATTTAAAATGCTTATTTTCATATCTTAATGTACCTCTATGGTACAAAAAAGCTTAAGTGGTTAAATGAAAAATCAGCAGAATGTGCTATTTTCTTATCCAATTAATCGTTGGAATAATTGGTTAATAGTTGGAAGAGTCGATTAATCATCCGAATAATCGATTAATCGTTGGAATAATCACCAATCTGGTAAATAATATGATTGTCACTAATGATAATTTTAGTAACAGATATTGTTGCCTTTTTTTCTCACCATCAGTCAGCTCTGGTGTCTTTGATAATTGCTCCAGCTCCCATCCCAGGTGCAGCGACTCGTCCATGCTCTGTTTCTGGGCCATCTCCAACACGAGATTCTCCTCCAACAGCTCCTCCATTCGCTTCCGGTCAAGGTCCCGCTCCTGGAGATCAGTTCAACAAATATCGTTGCTATACATGTTGCTACTGCAATTTCTGTCCCAGATTACACCCAGAAAGCATGACTATACCATCTCCAGATCATGCATCTTGGACTTGAGCTGGAGGTTCTCTTTCTCCAGAAGGTGTAGCTTGTCGGACCGCGTCCTGGTGGAATCCAGCTGCTCCTCCAACATCGTCTTTGTTTCTAGCAAAATCTGGTTGTCCTCCTTTAGCTCCTATAAAAACATTAAGAACGCAAGTCTAACACAGAGGAGAAAACTGCAGCAGCATGCAAAAGACCTAACTAAGCCCAACTTTTAGGGCCAATGTATATTTGCAATATAAATTAAGAAAAAAAAAAAAACTAAACTGTTATTTATATCCAAATGAACTGCATGGTCAAACTGTATGAACTCCATTACTCTCAATACTTTCAAGATAATTTTGACAAATAAATACAAAAGTTGACAAGAAACTTAAGGCTAATATTTGTACAGAAATCAGATTGGATGAATAGATGGAAAGACGGATCGACAGACAAAGATGGATGGTACAGCAGATTCACCATTTCATGAATATGGAACAGACTGGTAGACAGATTGATGGTTAGGCAAACAAATGAGACGGCTGATGTGAACAAACTGACATACGGACAGACGAATATAACACAGGCTGAAAGATGCTGAACATGTAAAACTTTTTTACTGCCCCTCAAAGTTAAAATGGTCTTTATTCCGTTTTTGCAGCCGTTTACCTCGACTCTGGCCTTGTAGAAGTCAATGTCATGAAGTCTCTCCTTGTACCGGCAGAGCTCGCTCTCCAGTTTGTCGACACGTATGGCTTTTTCTCGGAGTGCGTCCAGCTCATCGCGGTAGGCCCGAGCCGAGCGAGCGTCGGACAGCAGCTGATAGCTCTGCAGGAGTACATAAATTTGTTTATGGAGCATAAACAAAAGTAGAAAAGTTCAATGAAGTGCTTAAATCGCACAAACACAAAACCAAACATACTGAAACAATGGCTTTAATGTGTTTATATTATATAATTTGTGGAGTATTTGAGAACAAAAAACACCAATGAACAGAATAGCTTCTGCACATCATCAGTTTAACAAAAAGCATATGTACTCGCATTTCTCCACAATGCCCCAAGCTGTTTTTTTTTTTTTTTTTTGGTAAACAATTGCATCAAAAGCCAGGAGAATCTGCAGCCAGACTAAAAATAGTTTGAGCACCCTCTAATGAGCTAAGTCACTCACTAGCTAATTACAGCCTGGCATCAATTTAGAAACCGAGCGCTAAGGAAGAGAAAACCAGGTGGAGGAGAAGTGAGGTCATTCGAATATTTGTAAACCGCACAGCATAGAGCTGTGATTGGTAACTTTACCTCCTGCTGGATTCTCTTCAGCTCCACCTCCATGTTCTCCAGCTCCTGCCTGGTGTCCAGAAGCTGCTCGCTTTTTTCCTCCCTGCAAAGGAGAACCAGCATAAACAAAAGCAAAGTACAGAAATGACATACGAGAACTGCAACAAAACACAATATGCCATTTGTTTTCTGTTTTTTTTTTTTTTTTTTTTCTTAAAGGAGGTACTTATGACGACATCAGTCCAGTTAGGAAATTCCTTTTGTGCTTATTCTCATTCAGTACTTTAAAGCTGTATTATATAACAATAGCCTTTGGGTAGTTTCATAGAAAAGTTACAGTAAACAAAATCTGCACAAACATTTTTGTGATGTGAGGAAATGGGAATTATGTGTCACAACAGAAGTGGTGCTATGAGTAATCATTTGTTTTTAACTTACGACAACACGTCTGATTCAGGGCATATAGACTATAAAAGCGCAAAAAAGAAGGGGAAAAAAATCCAACATTTCATAAAAGCAGAGATAAAAGCAGATAAAATCCTGGTTTGGTAGGCTGGTTTAAAACCATGGCTTGCTATGTTTTCAGTGACTTAATTAAAAAAAACTAAAGTTTTTTTGTTTTTGTTTTTTGCAAAGAATTTTTGAAAACATGATTTTATCAATATGATGTTCAAGCATTTCAAAAAAGTGGTTAGTGTAGAACTGAGTGGAGACTTGGTGTGATTTAGTCCACTATTAAAATCATTGTACAAGAATAATCCCACGCTAAAAAACATAAAAAGCTGTTTAATTAGACTTTGAAATAAAAAAAAAAATAAATAATAAAAAAGCATACTTTGGAGTTGTTTTGATATCTACATAACTTGTGCAAATTGTTCTTGAACGCATCACCTGTAAGGAAACGTCGTCTTGACATACCACCATGTGTGGTCATTCGTAGGGGCTATAGATGCTAACATGGTATTTATGGCTTGTTAAATAACAGGCAGTGTGGAAGTGCACAGTCTATGATTTTTCTCAGTATCAGTGATGTTTAAGTTGGGTAGGTTGAGTCATTTAATGTAGGGCTAGCTACATTAATTTCCTTTAGAAAAATGCTGAGGTAAACCTTTGCTTCAGTCTGCCTCTTTTTCTATGTTGTCAGTGTAGCTGAGAGAGAAACCTTAATGTCCCCCCAAAAAAGCAGACTTTAGTAATAGATGGGAGTCCTTATATTTTGCTTTCATGCTACTTTCTAAAGTTGGTTAGTTTTAAACCTAAATGTTCCACATTTGCACAAATTTAAAACATAGTTATACAAGTACATAAAAATAATATTTTAAAAAATAGTTAATATCTCACTATAAATTAAGTACTGTGCAATATTGGCAAGTCCTAAGTTGATGGACAAACACCACTGAACGCCAAACCAGCCTAAGTGTGTGCTTACATAAGTGAGAAATTTTGATTTCTGTCGTCTCGTTTCTCAAAAACCCCAAAGAAAAGCAGAACTAGCTCAAGCATCTGAAAACCTCCTGTGACTACAACCATGCTGAACACACAGCAAATATTCCCCTGAGGCAACAACGCTTCATCCTCCTTTACTCAGAGGAAGAAACAAGTCAGACCTGACAAGTAAAGAGTTCACAAGGTGAATTCTGTATTTTTAATTCTTCAAAAACCGCAGCGTGTTTTTTTTCCTACATCAACACTAGAAGGCTACATGTGTGAAAAGAAGTGAAATAAGGCACTTTGTAAAAGTCAAGAAGAAGTGCCATTTTTGGGTTAGGTATAGACTTTAGGTTAGGTTTAGGATCAGGGAAAGGCTACAGAATACAAACAATAAAATAATAATAAGAATGGAAATCGATGCAAAATCCTTGTGAAGATATGAACACGCAATATGTCTGCGAGTGTGTGTGTGCAAGTTCTCCAGGCTCAGCTCTCGGGAGAAAAAGTGTCGCACTGCATTGGGAGAAAACGACTGCATTCCTGAGATGCTGCTCAGTCTGTGCATGTGTTTGCATGAAACTGGTCCGCTGAACATCTGATGGCCCATTTGATTACAGCTCTCTGGAGTCTCCTAGCGCATCTCAATAAGGAAAGGAATCCTATTCTCTCCCTCTCTCATTGTTTTCTCTCCACTCATTCACCTTCCGTTTCCTCAGACAGTTATCTGGGAAGTTAAACAATCGTGGCACGGGAAGTCACCCCCTTCGACCTTTTTTTTAAACCCATTAACGCTCCGATTCTCTGCAGTTTTGCCTCGTTTTCACACAATCCGTTTCTTGAAAATTACAAGCACCTGTCAACTGCTGCATAGAAGATTAGCGTGGCCGTCACATTACGTATTCAGCTGGCACAGTTTCTTCCGCTTTCTGAAAACAAGCTGCATCTGTGCAGGATGAGGCTTTCGCATTTAAAGCTGCATCATCAACTGCAGCTGTGGGATTTTGACCATGTGGCAGATTAAAAACACTTTGCAACTCCCTGGAACTGACCGATGTCGATAAATATATCTATTATGGTAAATAAAATCTAATTTAGCTACATAAGATGTTTATGACAATCATACTTCTTGTCTAAAGAGATGAAAGAGCAGTCATGTGACCAGATTCTATAAATTGACAGGTTTTTTTTCTTTGTACACTTCATGGTACAACAACTTTCCATTACAGATGCCACGAAAAAAAAAAAAAAAAAAAAAAAAAAAAAAAGAACAATGAACCAAAATATTAAATCATCTTGATGGTTGCGGTTTTGTATTTGAATTTAAAGCAACTGAAATAAATAGTAACAATGTCAATAAGTCACCTGTTGATGCAGATAAACTTGTTTTGGGTTGTTTCGAGTAAAATTGTTCAGCCCCTTCCTTTGACCAAACAGACTGACCTGCGCATATCTGAATTACAATGGCCTTAATTTAGGCTTTCATTCTGCTCGCACACACATAAAAACACACGGCTTTGTTTTGGAAAAGTTAACAAAATACACAATCTTGCTATATACAGAGAGACAATGATGATGATTTCTCCAAGACTTGAGGCCTGTTTCAAATTACGGACAAAAAACCCCCATTTGTATTCATAAGTCTGCTTTGTATTTTACTTTGGTACATGGAGAAACAGACAGAAAATATCACAGCAGATTTTTGGTTTGCATATGTATATGTGAAAAAGATGGAAGGTGTTCCCATAATGACTGCAGCAGGAGCACAAGCTTAAAAATGGTTGAGAAATCTGTTGAGAGCAAAAACTAAGAAAAAGCTGTTTGTGCAACACTGTGCCACAGTTTCTTCAAAATTACCCATTTTTATAGCCAAAAACTGATTTAGGCAAACAAAAAAAATCACTTTTGGCAAAAAAAAGACACACACATATATATATATATATATATATATATATATATATATATATACACACACATATACATACATATATACACACACACACATTATTAAGTAGCCTCGTAATATCTAAATAAAAATCACATTCAGCTCTGGAACCCATTTGACTCCACTACCAAAAGCCTATTTACACGCCCCATTGAAATAATTGTTGATCAAGCTGATAGGAGGACAACGGCACTCACAGTTCCTGTCGAAGGCGTCTGATTTTGGCCTTGGCATCGGCCAACTCCACCGAGAGGTGCTGTCGACTCTCAGTCCTCCTCATGCTGGGAGAGTCACCAGGGGACTGGGTGGCGATGGGAGCCAGGGGAGAGAGCTGCACACAGTCTCTCTCCTGGGTGAGCTCCACGATCGTCTGAATGCAGGAAGGATGGAAAGAAAAAGTGGACAGGTGAAGCTGTGCTACACTGCAGTTCAAGAAAGAAAGGAAACACAAGATACTTAAAGATGAGTTTTAATATTTGGGAAGTCACTGGCAGGCAAAGTTAGAAAAGTTACACAGAGGCCCCACACCAAGCCTATTTCAATCTACTGCCCTCAACAGGAAATGGGATTTTAATTGAAAGCGGCTGGATGATTCTATGATAATCTGGAGGTCATTAGAACCCCTCGCATGCACCCACACACAAAATCTGCTATCAGCAATAGGAATCTGCACCCCATGGCTTGAAAACTCATTTAATGCTGCGTGTAGTCACAACACACACACACGCACACCAAATGACAGTTAACAGTCTCAGCCCTTCCTTCCTGAGGCTGCTCTTTTGTGGCAACAACAAAAAAGGAAAAGTTTCCACATGACCGTGCTAGAAAAAGCTTCAGTCGCGTATCTTCTTGTAAAAACATGGAACAAGATAAATGGGCTTAATAAATCACACCATTACCTCCAGCTGTGTGTCCCTTTCATCCACCAGACGTTTGAGGTGGAAAGCCAGGTTTCTCGACAGGCTGTCCAAATCCTCAGGGGGCATTTCTCCATTTTCCAACCACTGCAGGTCCACCACGTTCTCCTGGTTATGGGTCACCTGAAACCAGGACAAAATGGTAAATGGTAGTAAACGGTCACTACGTCACGCTAATATTACTACAGCTTGATGTTGGTCAAAGAGAGAAAACACCTCTTGAATGTGAGATGCTATTGCGGCTTTGGTGTCAAAATCCAGAGTCTGGATACGTTCAATGTATTCTTCTTTCTTCTCACACTGTAAATGGAGAAGTAAAATGTTAGGAGATTGTCCGATTTCCAGCAGAAAGAGCAGAAGTGGGGTTTATATTAAGGTGTTACATAAGTTGGAGAGTGGAGTGTTTGAAGAGCACAAAGTCACACCAAAATCTGAGGTAAAAAGAAAATATTATAATAATGATGTAAAACAAGTCACAAACAATGATAAGTTAGCTCTACAGGATGAGGATCCAAAGTTCATTCAGGGACAATTTTAGCTACAGCTGAAGTGTTGAGACATCAAGAACAACTAAAAAGCTGGTGAAAGGTCAACAGACTAGTAAGAAATTTATCGACACCACATGTCTGAGTCGGTTTGTAAGTGACAAGGAAGTTAAATAAAAGGTTAGACATGTTGACAGCATTCAAGTAGACTAAGTGTGCTCTTACCTGAACAGCACATCCTAAAAGCAGCAGCAACATCTTCCTCATCTCCTCCAGGCCTTGTTCTAAAAAAAAAAATAAAAAATTAAAAAGAAATATTGGGACAAAGGTTAAAAGAAAAAAAAAGAAAGGAGGGGAGGTTCAAATATTTCCACATATAAAACTACATGTAATAAATCAGACATTTCCATTAAAAGGTACAATGTTTTGTAAAAGTACTCCTCACCTCTGGTCATGTTAAAACTTCAAATTTCGATATATTTTTCTGTCATTTTATTTAGTCCAATTTTGAAGAACAAGAAAAAATGTATATATCCGCTTTTAGGAATAATCTGAAAAGTGTTGCATGCCAACCAGTGCAACCATTTACCTTCAGAAATCGACTTATAGTGACTGCAATCCTTTTTTTCCAGTCAGAGCTCAATGTGCATCCTCAGGTGACTTATCCAATATGGCCGCCACACATAATAGAATGCAGTGAAAGTCGCAATTTTATAAACTATTTACCAGCAATTCTGACAGTTTGTGAATTAATAAACTGGCACATATATTTCTGTAAAATATCTGAATGCATCAAATGAAGTGAAATCCATCCCCAGCTTGCATTGCCAACCACATTTAGAAGCAAATACAAACTTTATATACATATTTCCTCTACATGGAGAAAAAATACTAAATGTATGCTGCAAAACCAAGTGTTTTCCCACAAGAAACCCCAACAATTTCTTAGTTCCAGTTACGGATCAATTTTAAGGCTCATTTTTCCTAAACAGATGTATGCTCACTCATGTGAAAAAATGCAACATACTTCAGTTAAAGTCTAGATTTAGAAGATCCTAGTTGGACCTCTGCCTATAAAGACAGAATCAAGCTCCCATCTTTCCCACATCGAATTCCAATTAGCTAAATTCCAGGCTTGTTACAATTTCCCCCTCTATAAATCCTTCCCTCCAGATACAGAGCCACAAGGTTTTCCACAGAGTAGCTGGCTGGCCGGATAAACTCCCAGCTCTCATCCACATGTCGGGGCATATTGTCAGAAACCGCTGTAACCTACAAACAGCTGTCTGCCTACTCAACAGGCCTGAGCTCATCTGGGGATTTGAAGCTGCACAACAGCAAAGCAGGTGGTGTGTGTGTGTGTGTGTACCGATTTAGTGTACATGGTTTCTGCAGGTTTCTCCAACTCAAATGCAGCATTTTAACACGTTTGTAAGACCACTATGGATGGAATTTATGACCTATATCTTTTATTCAACAAAAATCTATGAACTAACTAGCAAGGAATTTGCTCTTAGTCAGGATAGACAAAAAAAAAGCTAGCTAGATAGCTAGCGAGCTAGCTAGCAAGGGTATTAGCAGCTAGCTACCAGCAGACTCAACCATAGAGTCACAGAATGCGATAAAGATGTCTGTGTGTGACTCAAACTTTTGCCTGACAGAAAAATTCAATACATAGAATATACTAGATTAAATAAAATTTAAAACCTGTAATTACCATAAGACTAACCTTTTTCTAAAATGAATTTAAGATATTTAAGGTCTTAATTTTAGATACATGAATGTGAATACTTTAAGGATGTGGACACCCTGGTATAGAATAACAGCTTGTCTGCTCTGTTATGTTGCCCATTTCAGACACTTCCTGGTACACAAACCATCTGAAGACCAAAGGGCCTTAGGGGGACCAAAGCTTGGTTCTAATGGGGCGAACCCTGCATTTTCAGAGCTATAAATGGTTAGAGTAATTGTTGGGGTACGTATGAAAGCAGTTACTAAAATAAATGGAAGTGAATACAATGTCCTAATATGGGTAGGTAGAAACACAAACGTGTGTGCGTGAGAGTGATTTAGTGGTATACAATAAGTAATTAGTAATTTATGTGTCTGTGGCTGTAAAAAGCACCGCATGCTTCCTCTGTTTGAATTGCTCTTCATGTGTGTGTGTTAAGTGATAAGCCAAGTCATGATGTGACGAATGGAGCACTGAGTGCCAATGCTGTTCCGGCTCTAATGACAATAAATCCAGCTTAGTGACAGCAAGTTCTCTGTGCAGGGTGGCCTGCTTGCTTCTGGGTTTATGAGGCCACTCATCAGCACTGGGCGAGACAAAAATAGGAAAGCAGAATATAAGGTCTATACTGTATTTGCAGTTCTTAAAATGAAGATCACTAGCCACTGGGGAGTAAAAAAAAAAAAAAAGGTAATCCTGGACAGCAGAATAATAATGACACTCTCAGTTGTTTCTTCATGATCTATCCATCTAATTTACAGAATACGCTAAGCAATAACCTCTGAATCAATAATTCAACCCAAAGCAATGGCCTTATTGACAACATAGGTGCATGCACTCAGGAGGGATAGTATAACATGTAATTTTTACATAAAAAAGGTCAATATATACCGGTTACAAACACTACTGAAATAAAACTAAATGACCCAAAGAAATCTGTCTCTAAATAAAACAGTCGCAACGTGAGGAAGTAGTTGGTAATCCAATCTCACGGCATTTAGTCTCCATCTGCATTTCATTCTGCTTTTAACTTCCACTGAGATAAAGAAGTGGGAATGTCTGTAAGAGAATAGCTGTAATTTCCATAATTCTGCCAATCAAGAAATGCATTAAGTTTCTCAGTAATTCTGAGAACAGCTTTCTAGCTTGGGTCAGACAACAGCTTCATGAAGGGAGAACATAAGTTAATATTTAGACATTTTAAGGGTCAAATGAGGACATCAACATACTCTAGTTGGGACTGTGGATGTGGATATGACATAGTAAGTGAAGGAATGAAAATTTCTCACTCAAGCTTTATTTTTACAGTCTTAGTCAAAACAACAAAGTAATTTCTAATGTAGACAAAAAAAATGAATGCAAAATTGTCACATAGACAAATGTTTACTTTACTGCAAGAAGCTTTGTGAACCTATGGGAACAAACCTATGGGATGTGTAATCCTCAACACGAGTTGAAGTTTTTTTTAATTTAGTGCCTTGAGATGAAACGTTTTTGAGATTTTATGCTTTATGAATAACAACAAACTCTGAGATGAGAAATATTTTAGCTGATTTTTAACAGATAAATTCCCTTTCTGTAGCAAGTTTAGGGACATGTTTATTTCACCTACTCATGTTTTAATCAATGCATGCTAATGTAAACAAAATGCATTTCGTCTAGAGGGGCACAACTTTCTCCTAAACTGTCTTATAAGACAATAAATCTGACAGAGATCGATTGGCAATTATTGTCTTTTATAGTTTACTGTAATAAAACTGAATCAAGAGACGAAAAATCACCAGATATCACAGACGAGTAATTTCTCGTTTTCGTCTCTCTTTACTTATTGTTTGTAAAAGGATGGCGCGTTTGTGCCTCCAGGCACGCTCCCAGCAAGTTTATCTGCACAACATGGATATGAGGTGCATCAACCAGAGCTGACATTGGAAGAACAGGGTTGCTGCTTAACAGGAAACATGACAGATACTGATCGATTCACACTATTCTTTGTGAGGCAGGTTTGTGTTAAAGTTTTGGCATATTCCAAACAAATACCAGAAAAGAAAAACTGAAATTGTGTTTGGTTGGATAGTAATAAAAACAAAAACAAAAAAAAACAAACAGATTTGGTCATTAGATAATTCATTCCATGTATACATGGACCATTTTTTTTCTCCATCCGGTTCAAAATACAATTAAGAAAACATGATTTTGGCGTATTTATCTTTGTCCGAATGCTTCAAAGTTGTCTTCATTTTACTTTTTCCTGATAATTTGCATTTGTTTTGCGTTGTAAAAAACATAGCTGAAGAAAGAACTTTAATGTTCATTTAAAAGCAGCTAAATAATTGTTACCATGTTAAAAGTTGGAACTTTTCTATTTAACCAAATCAAAGGACTCCGGGATTAGCTCAAAATCTGGAGTAGTTACGCAGCTCAAACTTGAACTCAACAGATATTGATGATAAACACAAAGTGAATAGCTTGTAAAACTAGTTAGTTTCCAAATATTTTAAGTAAATATGTAAAGCCAATTACACCAGTACCTTATTTATGGCATGAAATAAAATATGTTCCATATGAAATACAATTTGTGTAGATTTGGGTCTAGAAGAGCAGCAACAAGTAAAACTTCCCAAACCTATAGAGCTTAAAAACCCTCTATTAAAAACCATAAAAACCTATTATAGTCAGTGAAGGGATTTAGACCAGCAAATCTACTGGAGCTACTCGGGAGAGATAAGGAACCCCACTGGATAAATAATTTATGGGGTTTGAAAGGGGGAACAAGAGAGAGAAGCAGGCAAAAGGCGAGATAAAAGCAAACAGAGACAGGAGGAGGAAAAGTATCACAAGCTTAAAAAAAGAAGATAAATAAAGTGAGAGACAGAACAGCAGCAGGGAGCCAGAGAGGCAAGGCTGAAAATAGAAGAAATCTCCCTCCAGCAGCACAAGCTGAAGGCTTAAAGGAGGCTCCGTTGTCTCACTTCACACCTCATCTGGTCTGCATCCCTCTTCCGCTGCTGCTCATACATTCATTTCATCCATGTATTCTCTGCAGCACACATCCACCCACCCGTCCTTCCTTCCCATAACATCGTTACACATGAGCTGCTCCTTCAGTGTCGCCACCTGGACTAAGCCTTCGTTTTTACCTCCTGTCTTTCCACCCTGTTTTGATCCTCTTGGCAGGAAAACGGAGGTCAAAAGGACAGTGACTAACCCTTCACTCTGCATTGCCATTGTTAATCAGTTTGTGAGGATGTAGGGAGGGAGGATGAGAAGAAAGAAAAAAAAGAAAAACGTGTTTGTGGGCATGTGCAGTTTATTGCTACAGCACCATTTCCTCAGCCGTGACAGTCATTGGGAATAAGCCGATCTCTTTACTAGTGATGACACAATTATTTCCAGGCTAATATTAATTTCATCCCAGAGAGAGAGAGAGAAAACAGTGATCAATCTTAGTTTTGGATTATTTTAGGTTATTTGTGCGATGGAAAATGAGGTACAATGATCAAAGTCAATGGTTGCCATAGACAACACTGTTTATTGGAGAGACTTCCGTCTTGTCTATTCTGTGTTAAAGAGACACATGAGAGTGATTAAGACCTCAAAATATTCAGTTGTCACTTTAACAGTTTTCTTTTTATCAAATGATTTCTGCAAACCTAGAATCGTTGATGTCTAATGTGCTTTTTGAAAGAAAACGAGAAAGATGCCAGCTACAGCCCAGGCATATACAACAAGAACAACCACCTTTTAAATGCTTATTAAAAGCATTCAAGATGTCAGGTTTTTTAAAAGAAAGAACATTTTAAAAGAAATGTAACCAATTAAGTTTCTGGATTTACAGTAACAAAGAGTAATCTGGCATGTACGGGTTCTGAACTCACACTGACTAAACAGTACTTGCAAGCAAAGGAGTGTGTGTGTCTCACCGTGCGTGTTTATGCAAGGCAGCTGAGGCTAGCTCAGACTCACAGCCTTGGGGGGGGCGGGAGGGTGTAATACAGTGCATTTCCACAGTTCACTGTGGTAAGGACACCCTTCCCCCAATCGCCAACCAAATGCACACATGCATGTGCTCACACACATTCAGCACTGTCCCCCAGCCCCCTCAAACAGGAGCATAATAAAAGCCACATGGCCGATGACTTTCAGCTGGCAGCCAGCGAATCCTCGCTCCTCATTCGCTCCTGGTCTGACCGATTATCTGACAAGATAAAGGTAAAGGAGAGGCAAGTCTTTAAGGAATCTTATTCTTCCCTTCTGCCCCCCCCCCCCCTGTCTACTGCAGTAGAGGCTTCACGCAGAGCACTGGCCTGGCTTGGTTTTGACTACTCAGTGGCTGTAGAAAAGCTTTAAAATACAGTATCATCTTCTTAAGTAGCATTTTTAGAAAAAGTGTACAAATTAGAGAAGAGACAATTTGGACTCTACCGAACAATACCAGTTTCTGAGGCTCTATAGTGGTTTGTTTATGGTGTGAACATGGTCCGACATCACAACTGGGCATACAATGCGAGCATGAGCCAAATGCCCTTCCGTCACTAAGGATAGTGGGATGCAGCAGAGTAGGTAACCTTCAGTAGCTAGCCAAAAATGACCTGCAGGCTCACATGGATGAACAATGAGGTACGTCGCATCATTGAATTTTACAAAAAAAATGACATTTGTCAGCGCTGACTCAACAGTGAAGCAATCAAATTGTTCAAAAAGCAGGAAGAAGAGATAGAGTTTGATTAGTCATGTAATTTTCAAAATGTCTTAAAACCCATTTGATACACTGCCTGGACATTTATTTGAAATGGTATCCAGAAATGTAACAGCTGTAAAAGAAGTCAAAAACATGACGCAGGTGCGTAGCATGAGTGCATTACCTGCAGCTTCCATTGTTGAATCATTTACTTTTGTCGCTGGTGGGAGTGAGTGAAAATTGAAGAGGTGAATAAAGAGTGTTGAAAGCCCAAAATACCAATGACTGACGTGGTGAAAGTGTGACGAAGGAAGCCGAGGGAGGACAAGGGTTAAGACGCCATTTTATTTGCTTAAAGATGCATGGACATCTTTCATCAGAGTCTGAGTTGAGCATGGAACAACTCACTGTTTTGAAGGGCTGATGATGAACTGATGAACACAAAGTCAATGAACCGTTCTGTTGACGATTGCGCTGGCTGGTAAACACAATTTAATCACAGTGTTCTCCTTTTATCTAACAAAGCTTTTAACACTCGGTTTATGATCAGTTTCAACAGCCACCTGCTTTTACTTTTGTTCTCAAAGGTTTCATATTGAGATATCAGGTAGCAGAAAGGCTGAGTAGGTCAAACTGCTTTAACATGTTTTCATGACACTGAGCACTTGATACTGCGTCACTGCTGCCTAACGCCAGTCAGACGGATCACATAGCGTGACTAAGTCAGAGGGTCAAAGGCGTACTACAAACTGATCGGATGAATTTAGCATTTCGGGTCAAAGAGCTCCACAGATTTGGCTTGCTGTGGCACCCCTGCAGTAAGTACATAGTAGCCGACAAAGGTAACCCGAAGCCAAGCAATTAAACTGTCCGTTTTCAATCACCTCAAAGGCAGAATTAGCTTCCCCCCGCCCCCCCTCACTTTCCTTTTAGTCCTATTATTTACCACATAAAGTCCAATTGTTACACATAACTTCTGAATTATCCACTCATTAAGAAACATATGGAGACAGAGATTGAAGTAACTGTAAAATTAAATCCTCTGGCAAAGAAGAAAACATCAAAGCACCAGATTATTGAAAGCAAGTCTGTGGCTTTATTTTAATGAATAGACAAAAGCTATGCAAGTGTCACGTCTTCATTTTGCACTGCTACTACACTCACTACCTGCACTGCTGAACCAGAGAACTGCCTTGGAGTACTCAAATAAAACCTCCACAGCATTATTCAGACAGTTTACCTGTGAAATCCTGTCATTGTGCCGTCAATAAAAACTTTACTCACCAGAGAGTGGGTTCCGGCCCAGAACCAGAACGTTTGGCAAAGGCATCATCACCAACTGCTGGAGACTCTCCTGTGGCAAAAAAGTTAACTAAATTTAGATCAAGCTTATGAGACAAACATTATAAATGTAAAAGTTAAACTTTACAAAAATTCTTATAAAAACATATTTAATGCTGCTTTTTTTTTCTTTTTTAGATCTTTATTGTTTTTTGTTCATTAGCTGCTGCTGCTACTAAAAGGTCATCCAAATGAAGACAAACCAGATAAGTAAATTGTTACTTAGGAGGAGTTCTGAATGATTTAGGGAACATGGATTATGACTGCGATGCTTCTAACACAATCTGAATATTTTGCACACCATCATCTATGTAGTGACGAAAAGTGGTTTTGTGAAAATTGGGAATGCGCCTGAAAAATATGCATTCCAAACGTTCTTCTAATATTCTGCTAGAAAGCCAAATGATATGATATTGTGAAACCTTGCACGTCCATGTAATATATACTACATGAACATGCATATATATATATATAAAAATCAGCATTCTGCATTGCCAATGGTCATGCACAAAGTTTTCCAACATAAACTCAAAATACAAAGATTATAAAAGCAACTAAAACTAACTAAAAAAACTAACAAAAAAGGAGCACTGTATTCAAACCTGCCTTCTTTAAAGTTAAAATAAGTCAACCACCTTGAACATTTCATTGTTTACTTTTTACCTACAAGCAAATGTGACATCGAAATCCCATCAGCAGCTCTTGATGTTGAGTATTTATCTCAACATGTTACATCGACCAAATACTGTGATGATGAAAAGATGTAGCTGTGATTAAAACAATGATCCTGGCAAAAATAATTCAAATATGAAAACTCTAGTCTCAAACCACCATCAGGTGTGAAAACTCAGACAGATTGACTCCACAAGCTTCTGACAGGATAATCACCACAAAATAGGCAGACACAGTTTATGTCTCACAGAGAGACATTTGGTGTGTCTGACAGCCAACTGACCATGAAGTCATGGCAGCAGCTGGACACACACACACACACGCCCACACACGTGTACACGTCCACACACAAAACAAAGATTTGAATCAAAAGTGAAAAAGTTTGAGGCAACAGTTACTCATTCCTAACTGTGTAACATTTTACCAAAACTAAAAAAAAAAAAAAAAAAAAAACTGTCATGAGAAGTAACACACAATCTCCAAACAGCTGTCGCAACAACACACACCTGCCCCCCTTCTCTGGCAACGTGTATTTGCAAAGTATGATATGAACACAGCTGTGCTTTCTGTCACTAACCAAATACATAAGACTTCAGCTGGTCACAACACGCCACAGTAAATGTACATCTGTCACCGAGTCAGAAATCCTTTTTGAACACACCTGCTAGATAATCCGGAAACAAAGAGCAGACGCCTAGCATCTTAGCATCCTGTGAAACAACACTTATCTTAAACCCTTTACTTTTCTCTTTATTTAAGACAACCTGCTAATTAACATGCTGCACACTATGCAGAATGCACGCTTACAATTTTAACGTGTTAATATTCAGTTAATAAGCCAAAACTATGAACCTTACTTTCCAATAGCAATTCAGTTCAGCTAAATTTGAAATAATTTATGCTTTTCTGTTATAAATAACACCTAAGACACATTTTTATTTTAAATATTTGAGGTAATTTCATAATATCCTGTGTGTCATGGTCTAGACCCCTCATACTGCCAATGCCTACATCCAATTCTACTGCTCTTATTTCGCTGCTCAATCAGCTGCACTTGTTTGAGTGATATGCAGACTGATTCGATTGGTGTGTTGAAAAAGAGCTCAGGTAATTTTATTTTCATCTTTAAACATTTTCTAAATATGATTTCATAAGCCTCAGGAGAGGAGGAACACTGATTTGATGTCTACTTAGTATCTGAAAAATATTCAGTGCCGACACCTCAAAGTTCTGCCATTAAAGATTTTCACTTCACACCTAAGGTGTGTAAAATGTGTAAAGAATTATAATTCAGCCTTACGGAGAAGTTAATTTTAACACGACTGGACTTTTTAAGGATCTAGGAATGGATAGAAAACAATAAGATCAAGTGAAAGTCAACTCCTCTTTGGCATTACATCTTAAAAGTGATACAAACCAAACTGTCTGGACTTGGATAATGGTGATAATATGCTGTGAGGATTAGTCGCAATAAAAAAGCCAAAGCAGAGACACCCAATATAGATCTTGGCTTATCTAGCAATAGCTTATATTTCATACATAAAACATGACAGAAATGGGAATAACAACCACCACACTGAGCATGTGAGGAAACACTAAGGCTTTTAAATAGAAAGCGTACTGCTCTGCTGAGGCCGTCACTGCAGAGATGTCTTTGGCTCGGTCAATATTTCAGTCTCTCCAATGTTCTATCTAGTTAATCCTGTCAATGCCACACCAGGGGGGTGTGGAACAGCCAGTGCTTTGTGTTGGAGAGAAGCATGTGAAAATGGAGATAAAAATGTAATATGGAAAATTTGTGAGGTGCTAAACCCATCACGTGTCACTCCAGTACTGCAGGACCGCCGTTACCATCTCTTTCCACATCCATCCATCCGTCCGTCGAACCCCATCCCCCCCCTCTACCCTGACACAACGTTGCTGTATTATTGATTCCTGCATCATTCAAGGCTTTTCAACACTGGATCCTCTTCCAACCCACAGAGATGTTTACACAGACCGATTAAATGAAGTCCTGGTTAAAGGGCTGATTCACAACTCCGTGTGTGCATGGGAATAAGCTAGTTTGGGGAAATTTATCGTCTCAGGAAATTCTGCTCATCTACAGAAAGTGAGGGGAAAAATAGCTGTGAATGATACGAATGCAGCATCTTGATCAGTCCATCTCTGCAGATAGGTTTTGTATTATAACGAAAACCTCATTGATTATCCTCCATCCCATTCTGATGAGGCATTGTTTTTCTTCTACAACAAAAACAACCGAGACAAACTACACCTGAATTATTAAGAGATTCTCATTTTGAACATCTAGTCATATAAAGATTCAAACAGCATAAAGCAAGGGCCATGCTGTGTTTAATGTTAAATTCAGTAGACATGGCGGTGTGTATACAATTCTTATTTATTATTTTAAATGCAGATGGGTGGAAAGGTTACAAAGTGGCTGTGTTTCTATTGGCCCGGTTTGCCCTCCATAACAAACTCCACCACCTTTCCATCCCTCCACCCAGGCACAACTTCCGCTAGCTGCAACGCTTCAACAGGGGACTAATTGTACAGCTACTCCATGAGAGAGTGTATGTGTGTGTGTGTGCCTGAACCCTGAAAGCTTGAATCACACCCATTCTGCAGACATTGAGAGTTACCATAGAAACGAGGAGATGGGTTTATTCTCCCCATGCTACAGAGCCTCTTGCACATGATACAGTAAATATGCACACACAAACACAAGCGCACACATACCGGTAAGCTCTCATGACCACTGCAGACTGCAACAATTAGGAGATCAAAAAGGTTATTTCCCCACCAGCAAAGGGAAGAAACATCCTTCTGCTTTTTCTCGTGTAAACATCCATATTCAAACGCAGATAAGTCATCGCACTTACACAAGATCTCACTGCATCCCCCTGAAGTGAATCAATGCAAAGAAAGCTTTTTCAACAGGACTATAAAAAGGGTTTAGGAAGCAAGCCATTATCACTTCAGGTCTCTACAGGAAATCCAACTGGCGCTTCCAAGAAGAGGTGGGTAAGCTGGTAAAGATATACAAACACACCAGCTGCCAAAAACCAACTAAATTAATTTAAATAATTGCACTATTATAGCATCAAGTGAGAAAGAAAAAATAAAACTCAAGTCAACAAACTTTCTACTTTAATGGCAAATTAAAATTTCTCATAAGATTATTCAATATGATAAAGGTTTCTCACTTGAGAGAACCCAAAAGGCAGATGGGCACCTGATCTTTTACACGAGGAGGTGGAGGAAGCTGGTCATTAGTATCTAGTTTCTTTTGTGTTTCTATGGCATCTATTAGCTAGAAAATGTGTTTTACAACACAGCCCGGAGGCACAACGAATAGAGTGGTTGTGGCAGGTGGGCAGGGGAAGCCTGACCTCTCCAAATTCAACCCATCACCCAAGGGCTCCGCTTCACACTGGCTGGAAAAGTTCACACAATCACAATCTATCCAAGTCAAGGCTGCTAGTATTCTCTAGCATGACACATTTTAATAAACCTTTGAAGCCAAAAAAATAAATAAATATTTGCCTTTAATACTCAGTCTCAAGTCACATGGCTCTGCATGCACCCTGATTGGCATGAATGGAACCCAACACAAACAGTGACTGTAACTTTAAACTACAAACAGATGGTTACATTTCACACAGATGTTCTCAAATTGACAACTAAAGACACGAACAGAGATAATTGGTCAATTTTAACCATGTTCAAAAAAAGCTGGCAGATAATCTTTAGTCTTGCTTTGTTGCTAGTGCTGCAGCGTGATTTCCTTTATTTATGTTTTAGTTACACACTCGCTCCCGAGAAGGCAGCGGTAGTCGTTAGACGTAAACAGTCGACTGAATGCAAACGTATTCATTTGGCTGAATATAAATCATCAATGAAATCAACATGAAGGGATTTAGTTTATATTCCAGGCATTCATTATTTGTTCAGCAAAACAAGAACCCAGCTTGACGTTTCCCCTTATTACTGTGAAATGGTTCCATTTGAGTACATGGGAACCACCGCCATATCATTACTGCCACTAATTCCGCTTCAAAACAAACACAAACTAACTGCATGCAGACATATTCAGCTCCAAGTGAAGGCTGGGATTGCGTGATGATATACGTGGGCCGTAATTTGTGCCAAAGTTAAACAAACTAAACATGCAGTGGAACAAATGGTACTATTATTCTACAGACGAGTCCAGGAATCACTGAATGTACTTCTCTAAAGCATCTCTTTAAAAAAAAAACAAAAAAACACTTGATTTAGAAATGCATGTTATTAGGAATGTCGATCAGGATTCATTTTATATGGGAAGTTGAATTTAAT